GAAAATATCAATCATTTGCATCCAATGCGTGGCTCTCAGCTAGCATGTTGTGCGAAACAAACTTTGGGTCAAACACATTTACACTTACAGTTTCTGTTTTTTAAAGCTGCGATGTTGTCAATCCCGAATGTCCAACTTTTTTTATTTTTTTTATGGATTGTGTTTTTTGTTATGTTCTTTGTTTAAAGCAATATAATGTAGCTCCTTCCTAAGACACATTTCTACCTTGGGGACAATACTATTGATCTATCTATGACTATGTTGCTTTAAGGGTATCAAATCTGCTTCATGCTTTTTATAAGTGGCAATAAGCCCTGGAATTGTGAAGACCATGCAACATTACTTCTCATTGTAAGCATGAAAGCACCAAGTGTAGTTATGTATAAACAGGGGTGACATTTAAGGAAGATTTCAATTAATTAAACATTCCCTCACCATGCTGCTAGTTTATAATGCCTTTAGATACTTTGCAGTTATACCTTGTTTTGCACAAAGCATGGGCCAATGGTGTTAGTGGCTGTGCTTTATTCTTCTATATAGCTCATACAACCTGGTTAGTAAAGGAGGGCTGTATGTAAGGTGTGTGTGATCACTATGGCCTTGTGTGGATACGGGTTCTCACACTCAAAGCTATCTATTCTTTGACCATTGATTCTGAATGTGGACTGTGTTTCTTACAGGTGCATGGGGGCCTCTCTCACACCTCGCCTCCTCTTCCACCTCTTTGTGGTGGAAGTGTGTGTTTCTGTGTGTGTGTTTGCTTTTTTTCTATGCCAAGTATTGTCCTGAAGGTGCAGGAGTGTGTGTATGTGTGTGTCGTGTGAATGCGTGCGAGTGTGTGTGTGCGAGACCTCATTGTGTTGAAGTGGAGCAGAGGTTGTGGGTTTATGTGAGCGAGGAGAGAGTGTAGTATTGTGAAGTGGTGTAGTGTGTGCGTGTGTGTGTGTGTGTGTGTGTGTGTGTGTGTGTGTGTGTGTGTGTGTGTGTGTGTGTGTGTGTGTGTGTGTGTGTGTGTGTGTGTGTGTGTGTGTGTGTGTGTGTGTGTGTGTGTGTGTGTGTGTGTGTGTGTGTGTGTGTGTGTGTGTGTGTGTGTGTGTGTCCTTATTTTTAACATGTGTGCATGCTCTGTCTTTGGTAAGGTTGCCTGTCCTGACCCTTGCCCAGGCGTCATGATGTGTGTGTGTCTGTGTGCCCTTGTGCTTATGTGAGTGCATGTATACGCATGCATGCAGTGCCTTCACTAATGGACAGTCTTTGTGGGGGCCTCTCTTTTCAGCCATGCTGCTTTTGAGACACATTGTGCCCGGGCATAGAAACAGAAGCTCTCCATTGCCCCTCAATAGGCCAAAAACAAAACCATGTCAGGCGAGCTAGCAGCCCCTGAGTGTTTGCCATTTAAGTCCTGACCAATGGTGGTGCAGATGGAACAAAGGGCCTGGACAGGCAAGGAGGCCTACACTGTTTACAGTGCTAATGTCTGGGTGGCACTCCCAACAAGGCCCCTCCACACACATACATGTGTACGCACACTCAGTCACTCAATCTCTCTCGTTCAATGTGCCTCTCTTCCACATACTTCCACTGAATCAACAGGTACATGTGCAGAACTTGAGAAAGAGAACATAAATATGTGAATTGTTTCTAAGGAAAGTAATAGCATAATTGTTACTTTGTATACATTGCATTGTTTTCAAAAATTTGAAGATTTGTGTTTCATTGTTTTTTAATGTTGTTTTTTTTCAATTAATTAAAAAGTAACCGGTTTTGCTGTAGACAAATTCTTAGCAAATTGTTTTCACATGTTGTATACTATACATACATGCTCACTTGAATATTACATTTTGATATTTATATGTGATTGTAAATAAATCATAATTTTATTTCATTTATTTCAATATCAGAAGTAAATAGAAAGAAAAGGTCTTTATCCTGTTTCAAAGTGTGTCATCCTGTTTTAGTAGAGGCAAGTAAAATAACTGACATTGAAAGGTGCTGTCAGAGGGGAGGGCATGTTTGGGCTTTCGATTTTTACTGAGGAGGAGTGGGGAGAGTATGACACTGGTATCAAATAGCTTGTGCTGTCCTTGGACCAGGGTTATCTTGTAAATACCGCGCTCCAAGTCTATAAAAGCGAGGGTTCTTTATGACGGCCAAGGCCACTCATTCATGTTAAAATAAAAAAGCACTCAGTGCAATCTGGGTATGGAGGTGGCGAGAAGGGAGGGATAGATGAAGGAAGGGAACTGAAGGAGAAAGAAGTAGAAAGTACATTGCCACACTGTCTTTTGTGTGGAGTCCTTGTTGTCAAAGTTTTACTCTTCCTGGAATTATATGGAATATAAAATAGCTAACGTTGGATGATGATTTCAACAAGTTAATGTGATGTTCTCCTCTCTCTGGGCTTTCACTCAATTTTGTTTCTCCATATCTCTCCTCTGTTTGAATTCTAAGTAAATAGAGTCCCCTCAGCGGCCCCTGTAGCTAGTGATTCAAGTTCCTCATCTCTGGATGTGTAATGAGTTCTGCCTTGTTTTTGTCTAACAACAACACACAATAATAACCAAAGTAATTAAAAGCAGTACGAGTGAGATGGGGGGAGGAAGCAGACCCCGCTTACCGATGAGCATTAAAAATGAATTGCGTTCAAGCAGGAGTGGTATTACTGGTTGGATGAAACAAGCTCTGTTTTAGTGTTTTTTCTGTTTAATTGTGTTCTTTTGTGATGCCCCTGTAGACGTGTGCAGGCTTAGTACCATGTTAATTTTATTAAAAATGAAGACACATGGAGTAGCATAGCAGAAACAAATCCTACATTACACTGTCTGTGGGTTTGACGTAGATGTCTTCGCCTTGAGTGGATATTAAGGGGTTGTGCTGGAGGGGGGGGGGGGTTAGATTTAATTAGCTTTTTGAGTGAGGAAAACATCTCCATGTTTCGTTAGAGAGGACGGTGTTACTCTGGCAGTGTGACTGCTCGGCTGTCACCTGCCTGGGCACTCTTTGACCTCGTCTCCAGTGGCAACATTCGACAGACAGCCACGTGGGACAATATGACATTCTTGACCTTTACGCATGTCTTGAAGCAACATCACAACATGCATAACTGACTGTATGCACAGAGTATCTGCACACAACTGTGCTCGCACATACCACAGAAGATCATCTAATATCAGAGAGCGTCAGGGGCGGAAATCCGATCGTCTGACAACCAGGATACAGATAGCGATTCTCCACCGCTGATCCATGCAACAGATAGTTTCCACAAACAGCACCCGGCTAAGGTTACAGCAAGGCGAGGCCCACACCCCACGCATTGCTCTGCCTCGCATCGAGACAAAAGCTTAGGTTACCGCTGATAGGAAATCGATAAGAAAATACACTGTTAGTGTTTGATTTTTGATGAAAACTTTGACAAGAGGAAATTAGAAAATGTTTGCTTCTGCATGCAATAATACCATGTGCGTCAGTCCTGTTAGTTATTCTGTTTGTGTTTATTTCGCTTCCTGATGATATCATTGTTCATTTCTTTTTTTTAAATTGAAGCTTATTAAATGTTTAACCCAAATGTCAGTATATTTGATTAAGCACTCATAATTGTTTAAGGAAATTCAATTCACACAAATAAAAGTATCATCACTTTACATTTCCCTTGCTTCAAAGTCCTCTTAATAATTTGAATGTGTATTTATGTTATAAATGAAGTAAAGAGATATGGCCCCTTCACATCAATGTAATTAGGAATCACAAAAAAAGTTTGATTCAAATGAAATAGGCCATTTGTACACAAGCAATTAACTGGTGCGGCTTTAAATAATGTAGCCCAGATGGAACCTAATTATAGTCGGCATGCTTTGATTCTGGCTTTCTGTCGGAGTATCACTCGGGGCGTCACTTTGGCTTTTCAGTCACCTAGCGTTTGTTTTGAAATTTGTGACAATCAGAGCCGATTACCATTTGTAACAGCATGCAGCGTTTGGTGCGGAGGGAAGAAAGCATGGCCCATAGCTATGGAGGAGTTTCCTTGTTTCCCTTATTACAGCTCAAAACTCTCCTCCTCTGTTCCCTTACCTCACTGCACACAAATGATAACAACTCTGTGTGTGTTGGGGGGAGCGTGTTGAATTGTTTGGTGTTTTGGGGGATGTTACAGTGCATATGTGTGTGTGAGTGAACTTGTGTGTGTGTGTGTGTCTTGTACCAGTGTAGAGTCACAGGGAGATCAAACAGTCAGTCAATTACCTTGAGAGGGCTCCAGTGGCTGTGACAGAGCGGAGGAGGCTAAATATCCAGGATCAAATACTCTCCTCTGCCTGTCACATAATGAGGCTGCCTCGCCAGGCTCAGACAACACACTCGGAATGTTCAAACACAGGGCACGGGTTAGCAGCGGACTGAAACTCTGCCATGACCTGAGCAGAGAGCACGAAGGGTAGCTTACATCACAGACCGCATACCTGCTTTTCCCTGCATTACAGTAAAACATCCCCCCCCCCGAGGGTGTGTGTGTGTGTGTGTGTGTGTGTGTGTGTGTGTGTGTGTGTGTGTGTGTGTGTGTGTGTGTGTGTGTGTGTGTGTGTGTGGGTGTGTGTGTGTGTGTGTGTGTGTGTGTGTGTGTGTGTGTGTGTGTGTGTGTGTGTGTGTGTGTGTGTGTGTGTGTGTGTGTGGTGTGTGTGTGTGTGTGTATGTGTGTTGCTTCACCTCAAGGTTTCAGCCGTCATCATTCCACATGCGGAAATAATCTCTGTTAAGCTTGCCAATGCCTAATGCTAATTACAAACACATTGTGAAAGTAAAGATAATTATTTTGTGTGCTTCCCATGACAATAGCCGATGTTATGCAGCGCACAGTAACATCATTATTGCATTTACAATAAATGAGGGCATAATTGCATTTTCAATAAACTTTATTAAATTAATGCAATGCGATCTTGTAAAAAATTAAGACATGGAACTTAATTGATTTACAGTTAATGCAAGAAAGCAGACATCAATAAACAGTATTTCTTATTTTCAGAGTTTGATCCGTTTAATACAAGATAAACATTGTAATTCAACTAATTAAAATGGAACCTGCTCTTTTTTCCGTTAGAACTTGGTTTGACAATACATTAAATCAATTCCTTAAAAAAAAAAAGAAGAAAGAAGTAAAAACTGCTTATGGGTTGGAAAACTTTTTGCGTAAGCATCTAAAATGGAGGACAAAGGTCATTGGCTGTTTATGGGTTCACTCACACACACGATACAGCCAGATGACACCTCATCGATCCCCACATCTTTTAAAGATATTACTATGATTTGTGGCATAGCTGAGGTAATTCTCTCTCCCTTTCCCCACCCTCTCTTTCTCTCCCTTTGTGTCTTTAGTGGCTGGTGAAGCCTGGTCATTGGGGTTCCTCCTCTAAATCAGCCGTCACATCTCAGCTTTGACAACATCCATTAGGTTCGACACACTTTGGCTATTAAAGGAAGAGCGGACGTAAGCTGTTAAAGGCCTATTTAAGCCAGTGTGAGAGTGGGTTTATGCCTCAATGTGTGTGAGTGTTGTTGGGTGGGGGCTCCATCATATAGAGGGGTGGAGCTTAACTCCAGAGTCATTGGAGGGGCACAGGCTCATCTGCATATTGGCACAGAGACGCCCCCCTGGTGACCCCGGACTGCGATGGGATAGGATGGAGAGGCTGGCGGCGTTCCGGGGGAGTTCACCACCAGTTCAGGGTGAATGAGAGAGCGCTGCGGCATTGATCGTTTCTGCGGGAGAAAAAAAAAGGACAAAACAGAAGTTAAAACACTAGTGAGAGAAAGACCGATAAGACCAGGGAAATGGAGGAGGAGGAGGCGGAAAAAGATCACAGTGCCTCAAATTGGATATAAATGATAGATTAGAGGTGTGAGAGGGCTGTGTCTTTGTTTTCCAGGGATGGGTGTTATGTTGAGCCCTACACAGGTAGCAGAGTCACTGAGAGTGCCGGGTTATTGACTTCCATGATTGCCAGGCCAGTAAATTTGACCCAAGGCACTGACTGCAGCCTGCTTGCTATATAGCGTGCGGCACAGTCCCTTATCTCAGAGTGATCGAGAACCCCCTTACATACTAGTACACACAAATTACACACTCACACAAACAGAACACACCAACTAAACCCAGGCAGGTACACACTAAGACCCAACACTTACCCCCAGTCTAACAATCATACACACACACACATGTGCACGCGCATGCACGCCATCTCCATTAATGCGCCCAGGCAGGGGTCAATCTAATAAACATGGGGTCAGTGCAGTGGTCATCAGAGGCCTGTCTATAGTGAGAGAGCCTTTAAGGTGCTTCCTAATTGTATCCCTGCGGCCTTCTAGTCTAGCTTTTTATAGCCGATCGCATGTACACAGGAGTATGGAGGAGAAAGGCACTGAAGAGAGGAGCTGAAGTAAAGTGGTATTTTTAATGTACTACTGATTTGACTCTTCCACAAGGGTTGTGGTTTTCAACCCTTTTCTGCTGGGACCAGTTGTTTTCCTGCAACCCTAACTGATTTCAGATACTAAGCTTATCCTGGTTTTTAATCCTCCCGAGAAAATTGTAGGGACACATTTTAATGTTCTTATCTTCCAAACAAATGCAAGTCCCTGCGACAAAAATAGTTAAGTGTGCAAATAAGGATTCAAAACTCATTACTTCAGGGCTTGTATTCACTCATCCTTTCTCTGTAAACACATGTACATTTTTGTTAGATCCATCTATAAAGGGATGAAACTCTTAATATCATCTTGCGGCAACCCTATTCTCCCTCTGGGAAACAAGAGGGCACCTTAATATGGCTTCTCCAGTCCAGTTACAGTTAAGTTGCTAAGCAGCTGAGCTGCTAGCCAGCGGCGGCAGAAACAGGCCATTATCTCTTAGCGCTCATGCTGAATGGTTAGCGAGTAGGAGACGAGGCGTGCAACAGCTGCAGCCACGATCTGTCCTCATCATGGACGCTCCGATGCAGAGCCGAGGTGTTTATGTAGCAGGACTAGCTGGCATAGAAGAAACACAGAAACTGCCATTTAGTTTGCAAGCTAACTAACTAAAATGCTGGCAAGCGATAACCTAACCCCCGAGGCGGGCAGCAACCGGAGGCGCTTGGACCAGATTTCAAGCTCCAGTGACCCCAACTTGGGAACTGGCTAACCTGGAGGAGGTCAGAGGGAAACCCAGCACTGCTGCCCCAATCCCCCCCCCCCACCCACCCACCCACCCACCACTGCCAGAGCACTTGATATGCTTGCTTGTTACCTTCTCCAACTTCTGTCTTGCCTATCCTCAATCAGCCCTAAGAATGAATGACTACCGCTTCACTGGTTTCGCTTAGTGCCCCTATTGTGCATAACTCTTGTTTTGTTGGAAGGTCTGAGATGGAAAGAGGGAGGTGCAGTGGCGTTGATTATCAGGTATCCACTTGGATAACATACAAAGGCTGTCCCATTGGACTAATAGGTCATAGGCTGTCAAGGCTCTCATGCATTGGGCCTTGATGCAGTACATTTTGGGATTGGTGGCCTTACAAGACTAAGAAATATCATCTGTAATTGCTTAATTTCACTTTTTGTGTTTCCATAGGTGTAAGCTAAATTGATTGATTAATGTCAGATTAGTTACCATACACTTTCTCCCAGCTTCACAGTAAGCAAATATTTTGTGAACCATGCTAATGTATGTCTTTATGTGTGTCTTTTACTTGTAGGCACAGAGCGGCATGAGCTGACCTCTTGGATGAGTTTCGACTCCATCTTCAGGTTCTTCAATAAAAGCCTGGAGACGAAAGAGGATGAGGAGGCGGAGGAGACCTCCAACACTGTTACCACACGTAGCAGCTCCCTTAAATACAAACACCAAGATTTGTAGAGGATAGACAAAAATGACTTGGAATGAGAGGAGATGGAGTTGTGTGGCAATGGATCAGAGAGGGGAATGCAGAAATGGAGGCTAAGGTTCCAGATCCTCTGATATTCCTTCCTTCCCCTCTCTGTCTGTAACCTCCAATCTTTTTCTCCTCACCCTTCTCCCTGAGTGTCATTCTTCCCTTCCAGCCCTCCCTGGCTGTGCAAACACATAGCCTTGTTGTTGTAGGAGACAAGAGTACAGGGTCACCATGTATACATCACAATAACGTTTTGCATTACTTCTAGATGAGCGCAACTGTCAAAGCAATATGGGCCTGAGTGTTAGCGCTTCCCGTGGGCTGTGGCCTGGCTGCGGGTACGGGCCATGGCAGCAGAGATTAAGGCTGACAGGCGCTGTGCACAATGCACTGTGGTGCACCTCTAATTGTCCTGACATCAGCCTGAACTGAGCTAATGCCCCGCCTGCCCTCCAGTCTGCACTGCTCAGTCTCTCCCTCCTCCCCCCCCCCTGGTCCTAAAGCCTGGGCTACTTACCCTGACATCAGCTCATGCTGTAAGGTATATTATCAAGCTGATCAGTGGACATCTTCTTTTTTGAAATCCCTTGCCCGCCACAAATGTTTTTTTTTCAAAGAGTGAACACATACTCTTTACTGGGGACCATTTATTAAGGGTTTTTGTGTTTTTACTTTTTTTATCCTCCTCTGCACATGCAGTCAGATTTTAAAACAATTATTCTTCCTTTTAGCTTAGTGTCAATTTAGTTAAAACCTGTGCCATATATGTTGGGGATTGCACCGCTATAATAAGAGATCTTTTTTAAATGTTTCAACTTTGAGCTAAATTCAAATGCAATGTCTCATACACACATTCCCACTATTCCGTTTTTTATATTGAGCCAATACTTCAGCTGTGAGTGTTTACATTAGAATTTCTCTAGGATTGATTTGCGAAGCTGTGGAGAGTGCGTTTCTATGTGTTTATTATAAATATGTCCTTTTTTTTCAATTTGATATCCTTGAAATTGATGTCTCCGGATGATTGGATATGATGAAACAAATAAAGCAAACACATCTGTGCTGAATATGAAAAATTCAGGACACTGAGCATATTTAAAATTACTTAAAGTCAAGCATCAAAATGGGTTTGCGGGATATCTCATTTTAACAGGAGCCAGAAGTCAGCTCAAAACTCTCATAAAGCCTCAATATATCACCTTACATGTGTCAGGAAATCCAAGATTTCAATATTATTCTAAGCCTGAATGATATTTCCTTAGATGTTGGAGAAATGTAACATATATTTTTTTTACCCCTTTTTCCTCCTGCCAAAGTACTCTTCTTGTGTACTTAAAAGTGACAAAGTCAGCTCCCTGCTCAGCGGCATAATCTGACTAAATGACACAAACATAATTTAAAAAATCCACAAGGGTGTGCTTTATAAACCACTCAAGGCTTAATGGAATACATTTCTAATGTGTCATGACATTAGTTAAAACTCAAACTGGTACTAAATCTTATGATACCTTAGACATCTTTCTCAAATATATATATATTCCATTCTTTACTTCGAATAGTTCCCATTGTTTAACTATTACACTGTGAAATCCTGCCCCTCCTGTGTGTATGGTTTAAGGCTTTTGTAGATTATCTTCCTGCTGTAATGAGACAACTGTGGCTGATGGTTGCAGGCCTAATTTTCTTTTAATGTGATTCAGATCTCTCCAGGTTTCAGCAAAGAAGTTGGTTTATTATTTGATGAGTTTTGTTTTCAAGATACCATTGCTCATCTTTTCTGCTTTTCAGCTACAATCAGTTCATTTTCACTCCATAATTTGTATATTGTTGCCTTAGGAATAAGAACAAGACTCTGTTCACTGTGTTTAATAATATCGAGCAAGCCATATGTGAATGGAACTAAAGATGTAAGAGCAGCCTAAATCCAAAGTACAGTGTGCAAATAAAGGGGGACTAATTTTGACAATTGCTCTTGAAGACTTGTTTTGTTGTGTTGGTTTAAGAAGCATGCATATTGTTTTTATATCGCAAAGGTCTTTGGATTTTGACCACAAGTGTCCTGCCCGGTCTTTGTCTCGTTCTGTTTGTAACTATTTTAGTTTTAAAAGTCTTTAATCATTATTTTAAAGTTGATTTCATTTTTTAATTAAGCTATTAAAGCTCTGAAAAGCAAATAAAATTAACTTTGGCATCCTACTGTTTATATTGTGTCCACCCGTTTTTTTATGACGTTATTATTGTTTTGTATTTCGTGTTGCTCTTTATTCCCTCTTGTTTTTCTTGCAGGAGTAGATTACTGATGCCGTTGCAGAACACTGCACGTTAGGAATGTGTTGAAAAATAAATCAGCAGTGCTAGAAAGTCAGGTACGATTTCATCGAAGAAAGACAGAGAGATGCTCCCGAAAGTGTAAAGCAGTGCTGCGGGACGAGAGAGTCGAGCAGCGCGTGAAAAATGACCTGAGAAATCATCTCAAATGACTTCTGAAAGCTAACCGAGAGAGAAGACAACTAAGAGGCATTTGCTCATAATCGGCCGTTGGTAGCCTCCTTTGTCATGTTTCTAAACAATCCAAATAACCAATTTCACTTAATTTCAGTGTTAACTATAGCACTTACTGTTAGGTTAAGCAGTAGATAATAGTTTCACATTTTAAACATGTATAGGTCAGGCTATTCTGAAAAAGCAATATCTTCCAAACGTTTCTCGTCAGCGTGTAGCTGCTAAGTCACTCAAGTGTGTCAAAAGGAAAACAAACTATAAACAGTAATTCCCCTCTTTTTGGTCATTAATTTTGGCAAAGTGAGCCCCCCTCCAACTCAGCGAGGTTTTACAGCATCATTTGTTTTC